GGAAAATTAAAATGAAATAGGGAAACCCCTAGGCGATGGGGGGAACCAAAAATTTAGGGAATGAAAGAATGGAAGGAAGAATGGGGAAGCGAGGTTTTATTTTTTGGGGAGACTTGTTGGGGGATAGGCTATGAAAGACGTGAACCTAGAATTGAGAGGAAATGATGGTGCATAGAAGCTCTGTGGAAAAAGAAAATTACCATGGGGGGGCAAAAAGGGAGAATTATAAGAGTATAGTGGGGACCAATGCTCTTTGTTGAAAAAATTGATTGTGGGAAAATGCACAAAGGGGGGGCTAGAGGCAATGGAGATGTCTTGTATGGGGGGAAAGTAGTGTGAATATTTATGCAGAGAATTTTGTGTTTGGAGATTAGGAGGTGTGGGTCACTGAAAGTATTATCCCCGGGCTGGGAGGGGGTTTTTACATTTAGGAAAAGGAACAAAAAAAATGACTTGGGGGCGTATAAATTTGTATGAAGGAAAACGAGGGGAGGGTCATCCTAGAAATGTTTGGGGGTGGAGGGAGACACCCCGGAAATTGAGTGTTAGAGAGGATGAAGGGGAAATTTTTTTTTTAAAAACCTACGGAAAAATGTAGGAGTGTGCACTAGGGAACATTTATGAGGGTTCAGGGAGACGGGTTTGCCATACCCCGAATCTGGGGGTGGAAGTCAGTACTGAATGAGGGGTGTGGGTATTTGCAGTTTTTGAATTTTAGCATTGGACACCTCAACAAGGCAATAATGGTGAAAATGTTTCTTTTTTTTCGGGGCTCCCTACCTTAGCGAGAGTTGGGAAAGCATTAAAAAATATACTAAATGTAATATTTGGGTCACCTTGCCCAGTGGGAGACGTCATGTATTTAACTCTTAAAAAGGTCCAAAAATATATAAACGTTACGCCGTAGCGCCCCAAACGTATTATACGTTTTTTTGTCATTCATTCAACATTGCCCCCAATAAGCCTGAGTCACCTAGACATGAGAGAATGGGTGTGTGCACTCACTGTGTTCCATATTAAAATAATTGGGGATGCCTGGGTACCATATGCCCTTTTTTCCTTTTAAAAGAAAAGATTTCTTTTTTCCTCAAAAAATTTGGGGCACTACGCGAGTGAACGTATATATACGTTTGGACCGTTTAAGGGTTAAAAAATACATGTATACTATACAGCCTCTCCTCACTTAATGATGGAGTTCCGTTCCTAAGACCACATTGGTAAATGAATTCATTGCTAAGTGAGGAGCATAAATAATAGTAGTGGGTTTGTGTCTGGCATCTTTAATATTGTTTTAATGTCACTTTTGCACTATTTATAACATTTCTGATATATTTTTAAATGTTTATACAGTAGTGTACTGTGTATTCTAATAAACAGAATACAGGAAATGAACTCTAATAGACATTATTTAGGTAGGCATACTGGTCAGAGAGCCTGTCATAAATCCGAATCATCGGTAAACAAGTACGTCACCAAGTGAGGAGAGGCTATATTGAATATACTTGCGAGTACATCCACGTGCGAGTTTTTCCAAATACGAGCAGTCAATGAGTCAGTTTTTTGCTTCCATATGCGAGCAAAATTTCCATAAGTGAGCAAACCTTGAGGGAGGTTCCTTGACTCTGGTGAGGGGCTCTTGCTCTTGATCTAGAGAATTGGATCTCATTTGTTTGTTGGACTATCTTATTGAAACTTGGACAATGTATGATGGAAAGATGCTTCTTAGCGTGCACCAAAAATGAAAGAAATCGGGGCATAAATAATGGAGTTCCCTTCTCAGCAATTAGCCCCTCCTTAGTGGTATTTTCATATGGTTTTTATGGTTGTATTCTCGTTTTTTTGGTCTCATTTGATAGGATGGAAGATATATTACAGAAATAGATATGATTTTGATTGCTTTCATGATGAAAAGTACCTTGAAATTGAGCTCAACATAGGGAAATGTTTGATTCCTTGGCTATGTTCAAGAGTAAACAAATGACGTCACTGTCCATTCCAATATGCAGTCGTGAATGGGTTGAAATTATTTATACAATTATTGCAATAAGGCACTGTCTGCATAACAGTGTGAATAAAAATTACAAATTATTTATATTGTAATAATAATACATATAAAAATAGCATATAATAATAATAATAATAAGGGGAGATAGTGTTAGTGGTTAGTACTTTTGTTTAATAAATGTATGAAAGAGGGGAAGGTACCTAGGGATTGGCAGAGAGCATATGTAGTTCCTTTATATAAAAGGAAGGGGGACAAAAGAGATTGTAAAAATTATAGAGGAATTAATTTACTGAGTATACCAGGAAAAGTGTATGGTAGAGTTATTATTGAAAGAATTAGAGGTAAGACAGAATGTAGGATTGTGGGATGAGCAAGGTTGTTTTGGACTGGGTAGGGGATGTGTAGATCAAGTGTTTACATTGAAGCATATATGTGAATAGTATTTAGATAAAGGTAGGGAAGTTTTCATTGCATTTATGGATTTAGAAAAGGCATGTGACAGTGATAGGGTAGTAGTGTGGCAGATATTGCAAGTATATGCAATAGGTAGTAAGTTACTAAATGCTGTAAAGAGTTTTTATGAGGATAGTGAGGCTCAGGGTAGGGTGTGTAGAAGAGAGGGAGACTATTTCCCGGTAAAAGTAGGTCTTAGACAGGGATGCGTAATGTCACCATGGTTGTTTAATATATTCATAGATGGGGTTGTAAAAGCAGTAAATGTTAGGGTGTTCAGGAGAGGGGTGGTATTAAATTATGAGGAATCAAATACAAAATGGGAATTGACAGTTACTTTTTGCTGATGATACTGTGCTTATGGGAGATTCTAAAGAAAAATTGCAAAGGTTAGTAGATGAGTTTGGAAGAGTGTGTAAAGGTAGAAAGTTGAAAGTGAACATAGAAAAGAGTAAGGTGATGAGGGTATCAAGTGATTAGAATAAAGAAAAATTGGATATCACATTTGAGAGGAGGAGTATGGAAGAAGTGAATGTTTTCAGATATTTGGAAGCTGACGTGTCAGCAGATGGATTTATGAAGGATGAGGCTAATCATAGAATTGATGAAGGAAAAAAGGTGAGTGGCGCGTTGAGGTATATGTGGAGACAAAAAAACGTTGTCTATGAAGGCAAAGAAGGAAATGTATGAAAGTATAGTGGTACCAACACTCTTATATGGGTGTGAAGCTTGGGTTGTGAATGCAGCAGTGAGGACACGGTTGGAGGCAGTGGAGATGTCCTGTCTAAGGGCAGTGTGTCGTGTAAGTATTATGCAGAAAATTCAGAGTGTGGAAATTAGTTGAAGGTGTGGAGTTAATAAAAGTGTTAGTCAGAGGGCTGAAGAGGGGTTGTTGAGATGGTTTGGTCATTTAGAGAGAATGGATCAAAGTAGAATGACATGGAGAGCGTATAAATCTGTAGGGGAAGGAAGGCGGGGTAGGGGTCATACTCGAAAAGGTTGGAGGAAGGGGGTAAAGAAGGTTTTGTGGGTGAGGGGCTTGGACTTTCAGCAAGTGTGCATGAGCGTGTTAGATAAGGGTGAATGGAAACATATGGTATTTGGGACCTGATGAGCTGTTAGAGTGTGAGCAGGGTAATATTTAGTGAAGGGATTCATGGAAACCGGTTATTTTCATATAGTCGGACTTGAGTCCTGGAAATGGGAAGTACAATGCCTGCACTTTAAAGGAGGGGTTTGGGATATTGGCAGTTTGGAGGGATATGTTGTGTATCTCTATACGTATATGCTTCTGAACTGTTACATTCTGAGCACCTCTGCAAAAGCAGTGATAATGTGTGAGTGTGGTGAAAGTGTTGAATGATGATGAAAGTATTTTCTTTTTGGGGATTTTCTTTCTTTTTTTTGGGTCACCCTGCCTCGGTGGGAGACGACCGACTTGTTGAAAAAAAAAATAATAATGTACTACATAATTATAATAATAATAGATGGCTTCAAAAGGCCGTCACTACTATTACTACTACTACAGTCTACGTGGTTGTCTACTACGCTAGATGGCAGTGTTTATCACCACAAAGAGGGAGCGGTTGTGGCCGCCTCCACCTGTTACAAAATGATGTATTTTATTCATTCTAGAGTATATATCAGGTTTCTATATTATTTATATTATTTGTCATATTAGATGAACTATGATAGATATATAAGCCATATAGATGATAACAGCGAAATTATTCAAGTAGTATTTTGTCAGGTCTCCAGACAAACTCTCGTTGACCGCTGACACCGCCCATACCACTACATGAATTACATATTTTGTTCATTTTAAAGTATATATCAGGTTTCTGTTATTTATATTGTTTATTATGTCATATTAAATAAATTGTGATAGATAAATAAGCAGTAGAGTTGATATTAACCATACCCCGGCCGGGATTAAACCTGCGGTCAGAGAGTCTCAAAACTCCAGCCCGTCGCGTTAGCCACTAGACATTAGGGAAATTATTGAAGTACAGAATTCCACTGGAACAGATTAATTGCATTTCAGTTAATTTAAATGAGGAAAATTGACTCTGCAAATAAGCAAATCTAGTTGCGAGCTAGGTCACAGAACGGATTAAACTCGCAAGTAGAGGTTCCACTGTATTTTAGTGTACATCTCTGGGGATACACAGATGGCTTAGCTCAACATTGTTTATAATTATCATTTTTATCATAACTTTATTACACTTCATCTTCAAAAAGTCTTTGACTAGTATTAATTTTAGATTGGCTCAGAAATGCTATATATAATACAGGCTTTTTAACAACACTTTAATTGTAATGCTGTGTAGTACTATAAAAGTTCCTTAAATTTTTTTAATGTAATCTCTGGGTATAAAGTTGCTTGTTTTGTTTTGCTACAGCTATCATTTGCAGAAAAGTTATAATTCTTATCTTTGGGAAACTGACCAAATGTTAAAATTTTTATGAATTTAAAATATGCTACACATCTTAAATTTTTGGTTTCTTCTTGATATTCAAAAGTGCACTTCCTAACTTGCAGAAAGAATCTGATGGAGCTTTCAAGGTTGTCTGTGATTCATATGTAACAAGTGAATCGGGCACAGGAGTGGTTCACCAAGCTCCCTACTTTGGTGAAGATGATTACCGAGTGTGTTTGAGTTATGGTATTATAAAGCGTGACGAAGAACCAGTGTGTCCTGTTGACGATGCTGGTCGCTTCGTCCTTCCAGTGACTGACTTTAATGGCATTCATGTAAAGGAAGCGGATCCAGAAATCATTAAGCTTTTGAGATCTCGGGGAAGATTGGTTCAGTCAGATCGCATTAACCACAGTTACCCATTCTGTTGGCGATCAGACACACCTCTGATCTATCGTGCTGTTCCCTCATGGTTCATTAGAGTAGAGCAAATGCAAGAGAAGTTATTAGCATGTAATGAGAGAACCTACTGGGTTCCCGGTTTTGTTAAAGATAAAAGGTAAGTGTATTTACTGTACAGTATATAAATATATAAAATTTAATGTTTGTGAAAATATTTATATGCCGTATTTTGTTTTTGTATGCAGTAATTGATTTTTAAAAGGGTTATTAAATGGAGAGTTAGAGGTATTGGGAAGATGGAAGGAATATTTTGAGGAATTGTTAAATGTTGATGAAGATAGGGAAGCTGTGATTTCATGTATAGGGCAAGGAGGAATAACATCTTGTAGGAGTGAGGAAGAGCCAGTTGTGAGTGTGGGGGAAGTTCGTGAGGCAGTAGGTAAAATGAAAGGGGGTAAGGCAGCCGGGATTGATGGGATAAAGAGAGAAATGTTAAAAGCAGGTGGGGATATAGTTTTGGAATGGTTGGTGCAATTATTTAATAAATGTATGGAAGAGGGTAAGGTACCTAGGGATTTGCAGAGAGCATGCATAGTTCCTTTGTATAAAGACAAAGGGGACAAAAGAGAGTGCAAAAATTATAGTGGGAGAAGTCTGTTGAGTATACCTGGTAAAGTGTATGGTAGAGTTATTGTTGAAAGAATTAAGAGTAAGAGGGAGAATAGGATAGCAGATGAACAAGGAGGCTTTAGGAAAGGTAGGGGGTGTGTGGACCAGGTGTTTACAGTGAAACATATAAGTGAACAGTATTTAGAAAAGGCTAAAGAGGTTTTTGTGGCATTTATGGATTTGGAAAAGGTGTATGACAGGGTGGATAGGGGGCAGTGTGGCAGATGTTGCAGGTGTATGGTGTAGGAGGTAGGTTACTGAAAGCAGTGAAGAGTTTTTACGAGGTTAGCGAGGCTCAAGTTAGAGTATGTAGAAAAGAGGGAGATTATTTCCCAGTAAAAGTAGGCCTTAGACAAGGATGTGTGATGTCACCGTGGTTGTTTAATATATTTATAGATGGGGTTGTAAGAGAAGTAAATGCGAGGGTCTTGGCAAGAGGCGTGGAGTTAAAAGATAAAGAATCGCACATAAAGTGGGAGTTGTCACAGTTGCTCTTTGCTGATGACACTGTGCTCTTGGGAGATTCTGAAGAGAAGTTGCAGAGGTTGGTGGATGCATTTGGTAGGGTATGCAAAAGAAGAAAATTAAAAGTGAATACAGGAAAGAGTAAGGTTATGAGGATAACAAAAAGATTAGGTGATGAAAGATTGGATATCAGATTGGAGGGAGAGAGTATGGAGGAGGTGAATGTATTCAGATATTTGGGAGTGGACGTGTCAGCGGATGGGTCTGTGAAAGATGAAGTGAATCATAGAATTGATGAGGGGAAAAGGGTGAGCGGTGCACTTAGGAGTCTGTGGAGACAGAACTTTGTCCTTGGAGGCAAAGAGGGGAATGTATGAGAGTATAGTTTTACCAACGCTTTTATATGGGTGTGAAGCATGGGTGATGAATGTTGCAGCGAGGAGAAGGCTGGAGGCATTGGAGATGTCATGTCTGAGGGCAATGTGTGGTGTGAATATAATGCAGAGAATTCGTAGTTT